ATACTTCGATTTTTTAAAATTTTAAAATACCAGAATATTCTAGCCCTCACCGTTTGGCCAATCGTTCCAATAACCCTCTTATTCCCTCAAAATCGCCAATTCGGAAGGTTCACTGCTAAAATTTCGAATATGCTGAATCTGCATTTTGATCCATTCTGGTCGAATGTCACACCGGCTACTAGGATTTATCTTTGATTGAAACTAAGGCTACTACAAAGCCCACACTCGTTGGCGGCTCACTAAAGTTGGATCGCATATAAGGACTTCAAGCTATTTCCTCAGGGGACTGAGTCAAATGAGCGTCGCACACTCTCTTTGGTAGACTTGCTGCTCGTGAAGATTTGTTGATTTCAGCACAGTCGTTTTTGCTTGAAGAGTTAGGTCTTTGTTGCCGGAATGATGCTCTGAATAAAAAAGATTTGCGAAGGAAGCCACTACGTATACTTGGACTCGGTGACGGAAACTGCTGTTGCTACTCCGGTAAACTTCTCGCCGAGTAATCGTTGACAATTAGCAGCTACATAATTTGATAGTGGAAGTTGAACATGTCTAACAGTGTTGCCTTTACAAGAGTGGTTACAACCGGTTTCTTTTATAGTTGGCAGCTGATGACATGTGCGGAACTCTGCATTGTCTATAGCTGAAGTTGTTACATCAGATGGCGAAGGAGCTAAGGAAACAACTATACTTAATTCTGTCGACGCTTCATAATCCACTACAGCTAAAGATCGCTGATGTGCTTCTTTCATATTGCAGCAGAATTGCACAACCGCTGGCGGGTACAGTAACAGCCGAGCGGGCAGGGGAACATTTCTATTTAGAAACTTAGAGACATCCGAGAGAGCTTCTCTCTACTGATGAGACTACAGCCTATAAAATGAAAGAACTTTCCAGAAGCTGCTATCGAAGTGAAGTGCATTGACACTGCCTCTTGTTTGGCGGACTTTTTACCGAAGATTCGCATTATGTGGTGATCAGCTTCCTCCATTGAATCCACAAATACACTGTGGGAAGCAAACAAATATATAATCTCAGCAATATCTTCATCGGGTATTGGTCGTTGTTCCATCAGGTTCAGTATTTGCTGGCCGTTGGGAGCGATCAATATCACTAAGTGCGTCAAAATTTGAACAGAAACCGTGCAACATACAATTTGACATGAAAACGTCTCGTCCTGATTTATTGGGTAACTGCATGCAGTCTCCATTAGCCAGTACGAAAACATTGAGCACACTTATCTCCTCTAACACAAGAAACTGTAACTATCTTCGAAGATGCTGCCTTTTCGGATCATTGGTATGTTTGATCACCGCTTCATCTGCTGTTTCGGAAGCGGAATTCCGAATAACCGATGGATGTGTTCACCGCCTAAATGGTTTGCGCTTCTTGCAGCTGAACTCGTGACCATTGACGTTAATTTATGAAAGCATAAGAAAGGAAAATTTTGCAGACATTAGTTTTACCAGATACACCAGAATTGTTTCATTTCTGGAAAGCAAGTTCAGGCTATAGTTGCAAACGCGGCGTTGAAGATTTGTTAACACTGTCCTTATAATCGTCTGTTCTTGCTTGGAATCTTCACTTTGAGTATATGGATATACAATGAGGAGCAGCCATTCATCAGTAGTTGCAAGTTGTCGTGAAAGCGGTTCAGTGATACTAGTATTTAGTTTTTTGATTTGCTCAACCAATGCACATTATGGCCCGAACGAACAAGAGGGCTTTCGAGACAGCTATCGTTTTCGGCAACATTCAGCAACTGTAAGAATGCAGCATCGGCGCTACCGAATTTAGCTGAGAATGTTAACGAACCACCGGCAAGAAACATGAGCTCCTGCTTTGTATGAATCGATAGCAGGCGTAGTATGTCAGCTCTTCAGAATTGAGTTTTATCTTCTTATAACTTGGCGTAAATAAAACAGTCTTTCAACCCACAGCTTGAGAAAAGATTTAATCTGTTTCATACTTGCCAAAACGCAGAATGAATGAAACAAGAAAGCTTAGTAGTTTTATTGGCGGAACTCTTTTGACGACAATTCCGGGCAACAGTTTCTCATGGGATAGGCGACAACCACCAGTCGGAAAAAACTGTCCCCTGAATTATCATTCGAGGCGAGACATTTATCTGCAAAAGCAGTGTGTAATCCACAGAGTATGATTGTGGCTGTATCAACCAGACCTGAAGAAAAGGAATGGCGAGCATTAGACAGTCAGTCCATGGTCCTTTTATATCAGTCTTAAACGCTGCCTGAACCTGAATTAGCGGGAATGATTTTTTTCATGCATAAAACAAGGAAAATATATCTCAATAGAAGAGACACAGCAGGTCTGGAGGTTGCAAACTGAATAATGCGATTTTGTCTAGTTTTTCGAGGCCACCACAACTATCTGAGAGAATGACACTTTGGGAATCAGACATTTTTTTCCATGGCTCAATCACTGGTTAGGCACACTCGAACAAATTGACTTGTGGTAATCTTAAAATGAATGTATCCAAACAGACATATCTCTAACATTCAGGCACATTAGATATGTGAATGAAGTGTATGTTAGTTTTAATAAGTGGTCGTCGAAGAAGCCAATGACCACCACCGGTTACGGACAACATACAACAGTCAATCTTCTCTACTTTCAGTTCGCGCTTCTTATCAACTTCTAAGTAGTGTCGCACCGTGCTGAGGTGTCGATTTGCGATTACATCTTAACAAAATTGGAAGCTCTTTCCATGCCGTCCTGCCGATATTTAAGCTTCCGCGTGCTCTTCTACGTCGCTAGAATAGTATGTTAAATCTATGCAGCTCATATGAGGATCTGTGGCTAAGCGATTCGTGCTGGCTGTGATCGAAAGAAAATATGAGCTGAAGTAGCCACCAGTTTTTCGCCTTTTGTTGCAGCGTACGTATGTATTTCGCTAGTCAATTCAGCACAAGGTTCCAACTGGTCTGGATCACCAACCACGTAAGCAGCTAGACCTATTTCATGCAGTATAAGAAGAGCACTTTCCGGATAATATCGAGTCAGTTGCATTTTCCAATTGCTTTGGCTTTGGGGAAACGGCAGTGTCTTGCAAATTGTCCTGCTCTCTGCATCTTTTCATGAATGGATAATTGCTCTTCGCGCACTCAGATCTTCGCGCACTCATGCGTGTGCAGCAAAACGCAGATCTCATAAGCTAAGGACAGATCTTCGTAATTTGAAATCAACTTTAGACTGCTTGAAAAGATCTGGTCGAGCTTATTGTGAAACGTTTTTTGGCGCATTGAATTGAGTGGTCAACACTGAATGATCCTTTTTTATTAAAATGTGATAATGTGACAAATTTCCTTCAGTTGTCTTGAAATTCAGCCTAGCCCAAATTTTTTTCACTACTCCAGCGATGTTTTCTTATGCGTTTTTTCATAGTTCTATCAGTAACATGACACGGTTGCTCCATACTCGTTCGTACAATTGTAGTCATTATGGTGTTTGTTGCTGCAATTTTAATTTCATCACTGTATTTGATACAACTGACTGCATAATGACACGTGTTCCCTGTTGTCAAGTTGGTTACAAGCTACTGTAAAAAAAAACACTTTCTCCAACTCAGGTACTCTCGGCTCTGCATTGTTTCGTTGTTGATTAAATCCATATCTGGTGCAACGAAAACCTCCACTAATTGATCTGTAAGAGTTGTATAACCCACGACACAAGTTTGACCCTGATGCATTCCACAAATATTTCGCGTACATCTCATAATGCACTCAGGGTAAAATAAAATCCATTCATAGTCCGTCACAATTTTGTTTAAATGAGATGTACCCTGTTAATAGAAAAGAATTTTTTTAATTTCGAAAAACACGCTCAGCGTTTCAAAAATAAACATGCTAGTATCTATAGGTTTCCCACAGCAATGGTTTTTAACGGGCTCTTCCAACAAGAAGCTTCAACAAGATCATAAGTTAATTTATCGTTTCAAATTTTTCTTCTTTGATTAGCTAAATACTCGGTGGTTCTTACTTGATGCCATGCCCGTTTTCATAGATGAGAATTTTTTGGGGAAATTTCGTCAACACAAACAATCTTTTTGTATGGCACCCCTGAATTGTAAATGTTCTGACAATGACTTTCAAATGACTCTTTTTCCGCAATACGTTTTCCGAAAACGTTCATTATCTTTGGCTCCTCAATGTCGTTCCAAGTTGATACGAAGCAACAGTTTTCTTCAATTATTTCTACACATCGTTCTATTTCCGATTCTTGCAATGGTCGTCGCAATTAAACGCAAAAGCTCCTGGCCAGCGGGATCTACCATTCTAACAAAGTTGTGGAAATTTGATGTGAACAAAAACGAACAAGCCTCGAATATGTTGTACCCAGTTATGTTGGGTAATTGACAGCAATCACTATTGGCATTTACAGCAACAGCACCGAACATCTCATCGCGGCCTTTCAATCTTCGAAGAATAATGTCCATTGTGTTCCACGTTTCTGCGCTTATCAGACTTATTTCTTCGATAAACAAAACCTGCAGGCGCTCTAACAAAGTCTTTCTCTCATTGTCTCTGTTCAGTTTCAGTAATGCTTGATTTGCTGATGACGTGAATCAAGACTGTTTAAGCCTAATTTGAACAACTTATGCAAATGTTCTCCATTCAGTTTGTCTGCACGTCGTGACGGGAGAGATGTTAAAAAAGAAACGAATCCGTTGCAAAGGGTGTACGCTAGGATCAAACCACTCACGAAAATTTTACCTGTTCCAGGTCGTCCTAAAGAAAAAAAAATGGATGCTAAAATCTAAGCTTTTATAACTTTGTATCTTTAAAAACTATTTACAAATTGCTTGTGTTCTTTCCCAACTTCGAGATATAGTATCAATATTAACACGCTTGTGTTCTTTCGCAACTTTGAGATATAGTATCAATATTAACCATTTTCAACAGAAGTATGAACAGAAAGCACAAACAAATAACAGAGTTAACATAAAGTTGTACCCAAAATAATTTGATGTTTGTTGTATGTAGCTGTCTGTTGACTGAACTTCTGTCGCAAGAACTTGATGACACGTCGCAGAACAATGTGTTGCCCACGGAAAGAACACATCATTTGGCCAGGACCAGATTGGAAATCAGGGAACGAGTAGTTAGAAACTGAATTTAAACCTAGAGTCAAATTTGGGATATTCAATTGACGGACTCTTTCGAACAATCTCAGTTGGCTTTGCGCACAAAAATCCTCAACAGATAGCATAATTCTACTATGCATGGACTGAATAAGAACTAGAGGTGGTTCAACAGAATCATTAGACTCTATGTTTAGCAGCGGACAGCAGGCTTCTTTTGCCGAAAGTATTTTACTCGAAAAAGTCAAAACGCCTTCTGGTTGGAAACGGAGGTCTTTCATTATAGAAATTTTCAAAAGTTTAAGCTTGCCATCTTCATGGTAAGTATCTTTTTCGTCGAGCAAATCAGAATAAACAAAGCTATCGATGAGACGAGAGGAAGAAACAAGATCTAGCTCAGTATGAAAACATCCAAATCGAAGTAGGAATGAAACAAGAAAATTAATTATGTCCTTTGAAGAAACGGTTCGAAAAACGATTTCTGGTAACAAACTGTTAAAATCACTTTTAGCTTTGTAAAAATTAATTTCTGCCGACGACAAGGAACTTAACAATTCCATTTTTCGAACCTATTAAGATGAAAATGTTACTTCGAGGTACGTGTAAAAATACTCGAACGATGTTGACTCCTAGAGGCCGAATATAAACAAAATGACCCGAGCAATCTACCCACGGGTATAGTTCTTTGTTCTCCGCCATTGTAAACAATATTTTTCCTGATTTTGATTTTTTGTCCCGTTGAAAACATTTAAAATAAATTACAACATTACTTATTACAAGTAATTCAGGCGGACGCAAACAGAAACTTGTCATACAATCGATGCTCTCATTTGTATTGAGAAAGTCAGTCTGGAGTTGTTTTTGATTATAAGTGATTTGTTTATGAACCGGATAGTTCAGAATATGACTGCGGAAATTGAAGGAGTTAATTTGGAACGAAGTCTAAAGTTGTTCGGAAACGATCTATCAATTTTACTTTTCTCAGCTCTGCCGGAACATTCTATATGTGGATAAAAATCATATTTGTGAAAACATGGCAACCCTAGCAACCAAAAAACTGATTCAGTTATTGAGAGCATTTGACATCTTATATTTTCTGTTTGACGTTGTGTTTTTCTCATGTTCAATGAGAAACTTAACTGACGCTAAATGTTTATTTTGAATGCCATCATGCAATCTAAAATGCTTTCCATCTTTTCCACTTGATTTTCTAGCATCTGAGTGTTCTTCAGGTTTTGCACTATAATGAGGCAAGTAAAAACTAGAAAATTGGCTAGTTGTTTTTAGTAAAGTTAAACTCGATTGAGTAATAGCAAAAATCTTAGCATTTGTAGGAAGCATGTGTTCGCCTCTGGAGGCTGCATACATGTATTTCTCACAGTTTAATGGCTCTTTTATTTGGAAACCATTCACGTCATTTATTTCTCCTAATCCTAACTTAACAAGTATATTTTGTGCACATTCCGGATATTGCTGTTTAATTTCCATCATCCAATGACAGTGGGAAGCAGGATATGGTGGAGTAGGACAAACTTTATTTCCTTCAAGATCTTTTCGTTTCATACATCTGAAACCCCCTTTTGACAACAATGTGAGTGTGTTTTCATGCAGTTCTCAACTAGATGGTCAAAATTAAAATTGTTGACTAGGTCTGAAGAAGATTGCAACAGCTCAAAAAAAGCATTAAAAATATTTTCTCAGGGCATTGACTGTTTTCGAAACAATGTGTTTGGTCCAACCCAAATCAAAATGTGATAATGTAGTAGGTTTCCAGCTGTTTGAAACTCTGCCTACCCCAAATTTTTCTAACTTTTCTCACTAAATTTTCTCTAGAGTTCAACAGCAAGTCTATGAAGTATTTGACACTTCTGCTCCAACATCTTAAAATCGTGGACGTATACGTTTTTTTAGCTTCATCTTTTATTTTTTGATCACAGTCTGAGAAAAATTGCTCGATAGCCTCGATTTTTGGAGCAACACCGGGATGTGTTTTTTGATTACATGTGATTGTTAAAAACACAGAAACCATTTCTGTTGAAATTGTCGATGCAAGTTCTTTTACGCGACAGTTTGTATCATTTAATTCAAATGAAAGTTTTTTGAATAGTTTTGATGTGTTATTGATTTTCAAAGAAGAAAGTCCTCTCTCAAAAAAATCGTTAGTGTTTGCCCATCAAATTAAGGTTTATTATGCAATCAGCCATGTATTGAATATATCTTTGATGCGACGACGTTGACAGAGAAATATCAGTTAAACGAACTCTGAAATTCTCAAGAAGACCTGCGAAACTTTATTTATACAAAATTTATCACTGTCATAAAGAAAATAAGGATCTTTTCGACTTGATATTCTAGCATCTGAGTGTTCTTCAGGTTTTGCACTATAATGAGTCAAGTAAAAACTAGAAAATTGGCTTGTCGTTTTTAGTAAAGTTAACTCGATTGAGTAATAGCAAAAAGTTTAGCATTTGTAGGAAGCATGTGTTCGCCTGTGGAGGCTGCATACATGTATTTCTCACAGTTTAATGGCTCTTTTATTTGGAAACCATTCACTTCATTTATTTCTCCTAATCCTAACTCAACAAGTATATTTTGTGCACATTCCGGATATTGCTGTTTAATTTCCATCATCCAATGACAGTGGGAAGCAGGATATGGTGGAGTAGGACAAACTTTATTTCCTTCAAGATCTTTTCGTTTCATACATCTGAAACCCCCTTTTGACAACAATGTGAGTGTGTTTTCATGCAGTTCTCAACTAGATGGTCAAAATTAAAATTGTTGACTAGGTCTGAAGAAGATTGCAACAGCTCAAAAAAAGCATTAAAAATATTTTCTCAGGGCATTGACTGTTTTCGAAACAATGTGTTTGGTCCAACCCAAATCAAAATGTGATAATGTAGTAGGTTTCCAGCTGTTTGAAACTCTGCCTACCCCAAATTTTTCTAACTTTTCTCACTAAATTTTCTCTAGAGTTCAACAGCAAGTCTATGAAGTATTTGACACTTCTGCTCCAACATCTTAAAATCGTGGACGTATACGTTTTTTTAGCTTCATCTTTTATTTTTTGATCACAGTCTGAGAAAAATTGCTCGATAGCCTCGATTTTTGGAGCAACACCGGGATGTGTTTTTTGATTACATGTGATTGTTAAAAACACAGAAACCATTTCTGTTGAAATTGTCGATGCAAGTTCTTTTACGCGACAGTTTGTATCATTTAATTCAAATGAAAGTTTTTTGAATAGTTTTGATGTGTTATTGATTTTCAAAGAAGAAAGTCCTCTCTCAAAAAAATCGTTAGTGTTTGCCCATCAAATTAAGGTTTATTATGCAATCAGCCATGTATTGAATATATCTTTGATGCGACGACGTTGACAGAGAAATATCAGTTAAACGAACTCTGAAATTCTCAAGAAGACCTGCGAAACTTTATTTATACAAAATTTATCACTGTCATAAAGAAAATAAGGATCTTTTCGACTTGATATTCTAGCATCTGAGTGTTCTTCAGGTTTTGCACTATAATGAGTCAAGTAAAAACTAGAAAATTGGCTTGTCGTTTTTAGTAAAGTTAACTCGATTGAGTAATAGCAAAAAGTTTAGCATTTGTAGGAAGCATGTGTTCGCCTGTGGAGGCTGCATACATGTATTTCTCACAGTTTAATGGCTCTTTTATTTGGAAACCATTCACTTCATTTATTTCTCCTAATCCTAACTCAACAAGTATATTTTGTGCACATTCCGGATATTGCTGTTTAATTTCCATCATCCAATGACAGTGGGAAGCAGGATATGGTGGAGTAGGACAAACTTTATTTCCTTCAAGATCTTTTCGTTTCATACATCTGAAACCCCCTTTTGACAACAATGTGAGTGTGTTTTCATGCAGTTCTCAACTAGATGGTCAAAATTAAAATTGTTGACTAGGTCTGAAGAAGATTGCAACAGCTCAAAAAAAGCATTAAAAATATTTTCTCAGGGCATTGACTGTTTTCGAAACAATGTGTTTGGTCCAACCCAAATCAAAATGTGATAATGTAGTAGGTTTCCAGCTGTTTGAAACTCTGCCTACCCCAAATTTTTCTAACTTTTCTCACTAAATTTTCTCTAGAGTTCAACAGCAAGTCTATGAAGTATTTGACACTTCTGCTCCAACATCTTAAAATCGTGGACGTATACGTTTTTTTAGCTTCATCTTTTATTTTTTGATCACAGTCTGAGAAAAATTGCTCGATAGCCTCGATTTTTGGAGCAACACCGGGATGTGTTTTTTGATTACATGTGATTGTTAAAAACACAGAAACCATTTCTGTTGAAATTGTCGATGCAAGTTCTTTTACGCGACAGTTTGTATCATTTAATTCAAATGAAAGTTTTTTGAATAGTTTTGATGTGTTATTGATTTTCAAAGAAGAAAGTCCTCTCTCAAAAAAATCGTTAGTGTTTGCCCATCAAATTAAGGTTTATTATGCAATCAGCCATGTATTGAATATATCTTTGATGCGACGACGTTGACAGAGAAATATCAGTTAAACGAACTCTGAAATTCTCAAGAAGACCTGCGAAACTTTATTTATACAAAATTTATCACTGTCATAAAGAAAATAAGGATCTTTTCGACTTGATATTCTAGCATCTGAGTGTTCTTCAGGTTTTGCACTATAATGAGTCAAGTAAAAACTAGAAAATTGGCTTGTCGTTTTTAGTAAAGTTAACTCGATTGAGTAATAGCAAAAAGTTTAGCATTTGTAGGAAGCATGTGTTCGCCTGTGGAGGCTGCATACATGTATTTCTCACAGTTTAATGGCTCTTTTATTTGGAAACCATTCACTTCATTTATTTCTCCTAATCCTAACTCAACAAGTATATTTTGTGCACATTCCGGATATTGCTGTTTAATTTCCTTCATCCAATGACAGTGAGAAGCAGGATATGGTGGAGTAGGACAAATTTTATTTCCTTCAAGATCTTTTCGTTTCATACATCTGAAAACCCCTTTTGACAACAATGTGTGTGTATTTTCATGCAGT